GTACTTAGCTTGAGTTCACGGTCCATTACACATATGACCTGGATTTTCTTTACTAGATGAGTCTGTAGAGACAGACTGGAGTGATTAATGTTCTATATCTTATCATTTTAATACGTTGTGAAGTTGGAACTATGAGAACTTTTCTTTTATAGTTATGTAATAGTAACAGCTAAACTCTTCAACAGAGCTATAAATTTTTGCTAATAACACAAATAACCCCAAGTATATTCAAGAGACAGACATACAGCTTCTGCCTATTTTCACTGCCCTAGACCTCTTTCTACTCTAATTAACCCATATGCTAAACTAAAAGTATATCTATTCCCTTCAGAGGAAAAAATTGGTATATCAGGAACAAACCTTCTCACTGTCTGACCAAAGAATTTTCAGATGATGAACCCTTAGCCTGGGACAGAATTTACTTGGAATTGCTAAATGCAAGTCATGTAGCTGAATTTAGAAGAGTCTTCTTATTGAGGTCAAGGTCTGTACTTTGCTGGGCATTAAATGCCATTATACTGCTTACCACATTTCTGTTAGCTTTCAGGAGTTTGAATCTCAGCTCTGACCCCTGTCTCTCTATAGCTTCACAGAAATCATGTAAAACTACTTTCAGGTTTCTCAGTCTGTGTGAGTTAGGTTTGAGCATATTCAGCTATATAACCAGAGTGTACCTATGTTGGCATTAATAGATGAAATGGAACACCAGGAAATCGGGGAAGGGAAGGACATCTCATCCAGCAGGTGTAAGTTATCTAATGATTTTGAGTGTAGGAAGTGTCTGGTTTAATCTCCATGGTACATTTGTTCTGTCTTGCTTTGTTAATACGCTGTTTTGCAGAATAAATTATGTCACCGTTCCTGATCTTCCTCAAGGTCTGTGAATGACCTTCTCTCATGGAAGTTTTTGTTACTCTATGTTTTAAAAACCTCTTTGTGGGTTATACTGGAATGAAAATGAGAGTTAAATTTAGCTTTTATTGATTGAATTGGTGCTTGCAGACTCAAACTTTTGCACAGATTTAACAAAACTTTGATTGACCAAGCACTTTACTTTTGTGCTAAAGGAACTTTGCTGTTTCACTAAAGGAAAATGGAAGATTATGAAGGTAAAGTCACATAGTTTAAAAACTTGTGGTTGACTTTTTTCTGTTAATTCTGAGTTTGATGTTGAGTTTTTGAGTAAACAGGGAAATATACTCCAGGGGGGAGGAGGGGAGGTTGGCAGAATCATTGCATTGTTAAAGGGAATTCTAAACTATCAAAACAACATTTTAACTGGTGCCCTTGATAGATGAAATGTCAAGTACACAAAGTACTTACTATTTGGTTAAATAGAAGACTAGGAAATATATTAACAGATACTATCTGTTCTGAATAACAATTTCACTAACGGGAATGGATTTGGCTTCTGTTACATAGAATCATAGAATCATTTAGGTTGGAAAAGACCTTTAAGATCAAGTCCAACTATTAGCACTGCTAAGCCCACCACTAAACCATGTCCCAAAGCACCACATCTACATGTCTTTTTAATACCTCCAGGGATGGTGATTCAACCACTTCCCTGGGCAGCCTGTTCCAATGCTTGGCAACCTGCTTGGAGAAGAAATTTTCCCTAACATCAAACATCAGGTTGTCCCTTGTACAACCTGAGGCTATCTCCTCTTGTCGTGTTACCTGGGAGAAGAGACCAACACCAACCTCACTACAGCGTCCTTTCAGGTAGTTGTAGAGTACGATAATGTCTCCCCATAGCTTGCTTTACACAATCCCAGTTCCCTTGGCAGGTCCTCATAAGACTTCAGCTGTAGACCCTTCACCAGATGTGTTGCTGTTTCCATTGGATTTCATGCAATTTTAACAGTATTCAATTAGAACAAAGGTAATCAAACCCAAATTATAGAATGGCAGGAGGTGTGTCACCTTCAGTATTTAGTGCTAGTACTGTAGCCTGCTGAATGCTATGCAGATTGAAAAGTTAAGAGCTGATCTCCTAGTGAAGAGCAAGTTCAGCCCAACCATTAGGACAAACTTTCTTACCAAGTGGCACCTTGTTCCTAACAAGGGTCCTTTTAAGAGAGAGATGAATATCCTTTTGGCCAGAAAATTTGCCTTGCTACATTCTTTGAACAAATTGATGGTTTTAACATATGGAAAGGAATAAGAGCCCCCCCTTTTTTTTTTTTTTTACATATCTTCATGGTTTCTGTTCCCAAATGTATCTGTAGAGCAGTGATGCAAATCTGCAGCTTACTGCATTGCACTTTTAGGTTTAGCTTCTGGCCAATTCTGGAATCTGGGTTTATAATATATAGCTAGAGCATTTTCCTTGACTTTAGACCTCAATAACTTGAAGTCCTAATATCAGAAATAAGCATGTATGTGTTTGGCTGGTTTAGGGCCCTAGTCTCAAATATAACATGCTCAAAACCTGATGGGACAACATCTTGAGCAACCTGCTGTCATTGACCCTGCTTTGGTGAGGAGGGTTGGGCTACATGATCTCCAGGTTGTCAGCCCTTCTGAAGACTGCGTTACCTTTTTGTCAGCTTTTAACTTGCCAAAGACAGAGATGGAAAGAGTGGAAGTTAATCTAATGCTTTCCAGTGTGACAGGACTTCAGTACATGGGAAACACCACTAGAAGCCACTGGAGGTGACCATGATGGATTCAGTCCTATGAGTTTCTTTGTGGGTTCCTGTATATTTGTTTGCATAGGTTCAACCAGAAAACACTTTATGTCAGGTGATATTCTAATGCTGACAAATTTTGAACAAATCTTGTGTTAAAGAAGTGATGTGCACTTTTAATTCTAGATAAATCAGAATCACTTTTGATAGATTATCTTTTGAATAATCATTTGATCTGAAGAATGTCTTTGGAGAGTATTCAAAATAACTCCCTCCTGTATCTGTACGTGATTGGGTAAAGGATGGCAGAGGCCAGGAAGACATGGATTCATTTCTCTTTGCTGCTGGATTATTGGGGGAGGGAGAGTTTATGTCCTTGTAAATATAACTTTACCTTCTCTGCTTTGATTTCTTGCTCTTCGAAGGTGGCTATCCTGCAGCTCTTCATAAAATAGCTCTAGGAACATGAACATCACTAAGAGCTGCACTACGATTAGTGATGTTAACTACTGAGAAAAAACTAACTACACTTTCAAGGGACCTAACAGAAGTTCTATAACAGGATTAGGTGGAGCAGAAAGAAGTCTAAAACCTTGAGTGTTAGAGTAAAATAGGTTCTTTTTAGAAGTATGGCATTGCTAATAGACTAATATAAGCTCTAAATATTTAGGGCACTAGTTATTTTGAAAAGTTCGTAAACAGGGTAGGTGGAATGTTTTAGAATGAAGTAAACTTTGAAGACATTAAGAAATCAAGTTGCGATTTAACCTTTTACAGTCAATTTACTGTTTTTACAACTTTGTTACTGCAGTGAAGTTTAATGTTAATCACTAGAATACCATGTTCAAAGTATGTTACTGAGAACACCATCAGTAATTGCAGCTTAATGATATATACGCTGATTGGCAGATTGTAGAGAATAAGAGAATGTTCTTGAATGTTTAATGAAAGGAGGAGCTCTGCATGTTCTACTTTGGGGGGGGGGGGAGGGATGCCAAGCCAGGAGAGTAAGAATGTGATAATTATCACAGATTTACTTTATCACAGTTCCGATGGGTTTTCTTTACACTGCTACAGGGTACTAATCTTCAGTCTTTTAACGGGTTAACTTCAGAAAGATTATTGATATCGTGAAGAAGCTGTAAAAGGTTCTGTGCGACCCTGTAAGATGAACTGATCTGGTTTTCTAACAGTCAAAAAGTGTACAATTCTCATTTTCACTAAAGGCTGGTATTAATTATTTACTTAAAAAAATTAAAAACTATATTCATATTGGAGTTGATAATTAATGCTATTAATAAGTACAGAAACAGACTGGAATTACTCAATGTACTTGGATACAATGAAAATGAGTATTCTTCAAATCCCTACTACAGCCTTCCTACTTTGTATGATTTACAGTAAAACCTTCCTGGTTTGTATGATGTACAGTAAAAGTGGCAGATGTTAGGAGCACTTAACAGAAGTGCCATCTGCATAAGCTGAAAATCTTATCTGTTTACCTACAGACAGAATTGGGAATCTTGTTTGACTTGTGTTTAAGATTTCTCTATTGAATGTAGAGAGGAGCTTTACCTGCTGCAATTTAGGGAAACCTAGAAGGGCGGCAGTGTGCTGCATGAAACACATAATTTCCCTGAAGCAGAGGAGCATGTTTTGAACTGTCGGTTTGCTATAATGTTAGTTTACCTTCTTGGATCCATGTGGATGTGTGTAATGTGATTTGCCTTTTAATAATATAGACAATAAGATTAAGGAGCCTTCAAAAAACAACAGCAAATTAAAATGGCATAATTCTTCTTTCTTAAACACTGGATCCCAGTTAGAGTATTACACAGGTAAACAAAAACACAGAAATTAGGCAGCTTAGAGCAGTTGAAAAGGGGGAATTCATGTATAGAGACTGCAGTGTAATAAAATGTCAGCTATAAAAGCAGACTAAGAGAATGCCAGGCAATATACATTTCACCACTTTGCTTAGAGAGAAGAAATTAAATACAAAAATGAGAGTGGCAACACAAGAAGAGATTGTTTCATTCTTCCCATCCTCACCTTAAGGACTAATTCCCATTTACTGTATTATTAGAAGTAAGTTTTTACGTATTTAAGTTAGTTTCACAGAGCTTCAAAAGCTTAATTGGCTTTGCTGCGTTAGAGTAGGTCATTTCTGCATTTAATTGTTTTGGGAAGTGCAGAGCATGACATTCAGCAACTTCAGAATGAGTTGCAGGGTGGCACACTGCTGAGAGCCTCTGGGAGCAGATGTTGAACCACAGGCCCAAAACCTGACATTCTTTACAATTTGGAACTTTTTAATGCAGAAAAGTGCTTTTGTTAAGTGGTTATTCTTTCCTTATCTATTCTCAGGGTTGCTCTTGTGGAAAATATTCCTGAAGGTATCAACTATTCAGACAGTGCACCATCCCATTTGTCTCTTTTCCAAGGCTGGATGAATTTACTTAATATGGCTGAAAAGTCTGTTGACATAGTATCTTCCCAGTGGGACCTCAATCACAGCCATCCATCAGCATGCCAGGTATGTTCTAGCCTAATGAAAGGGTGGGACTTTAACAATCTGTTCTTCTTGTTTCACTATTAATTTTTTAGAACTACAGCCCGTCCCTGTAGCGTAAGAAAAACATTTTGTCATGGAGATTTTCCTGCCAATAAAATAGCTTTCTGAAAGTAGTGATATGTTAGTCTAGGTAACACATCTAACACGTTCATATTGCTTCCATCTTAGGAAAGGATGTCATTGTGTAGTCTTAAGAACCCTGCAAAATTGTACCTATATTAACACAACTAGGGAATATCCATAAATGTATACATTTATTTTCTGTTTGGTTCAACTGAAACAGTAAAAGCATAAGCATGTGGATTAATTCTCCAGCCAAATGGATGGAAGTACATATATAAAAAACAATGTAGTATCAGATGATTTCTCTTACCTTTCCAGAATGAATCTTGTGAGGGAGCAGTTTTCAGACTTCTGCAATTAAGAGCAATAGAAAAAAAATCGTGAATCATAGTGAATGAGGCAGACATGCATTACAGTGATGTTATGCCAACAAAGACTTGAGATCAGATCTTAGAAATATGGTAAGGGCAGATTTCCACTTAGTATCAGTCGTGAAACTAAGTTATCAAAGAGTTGGTAGCCTGAGAATATGTCCTCTTTTCCACTATCTGTATTTGTTGCTGAAGAAGCTGCTCAGCTAACATGAAATGGGGTTAAAATGGCAGCCAGGTAAGGAATCAACTCTGTTATACTATGGTATAAACCCTTCCCTTTCCTCTCTAGTTCTGGTATTTCATAGGCAAAGACCAGTATTCTGAGCAACTGAAGATATTACTGCAAATAGTCTGTGGTTTCAAGTCATGAGCTGGATTTTACTTCTTTTGAAAGAGGCTGTAGCCTATTTGAATGTCATACATTAACTTTTCTTCAGAATAAATCTTCTGCATGTCCATTAAAAAGAGTGAAAAATCTGAGGCGAGCAGCCAAATGAGAAATGCAGTGCAAACCCTTCCTTTTAGAATGCTTATAAATATGGGAATATAGTTTGCGAATAAATTTATTGAGTATCAAAATATTGAGTTTTTTCACAATGTAATTATGCAGCTAAGCTTTATTTAAATTTATTGCCTAAGAAACTTCAACCCCATGTACTGTCATTCAAGCAGATGAATTCAAAGAGATAGTGCCTTAGATGTTTTTAGGATGTGCATGAATTGGTGTATGCATGAATCTTTTAAAAATGTTTTGTCTGAAAAAAATTCCACATGTCATTTTCTTCAAAACCAGCAGAGCCTAACAAATCTCAATCAGAGGACAAAAATAGGAAACTGGAAATTGGGATTTCAGTAGTTAAGCATCAAATCTATTCACACTGTTCCACATTCTCATGCAAAGTAAAAACTGTAAGATACTGTGGAATGTCAGAGCAGGGAAAGGAAGAAAAGATATGCAAGAAATGGATTTGCTCTTTCATCCTCAAATGCACAATTAAAGCCAGAAAAATGAAACATTTTTCATAATATTCTATTCTAGTATCTATTTCTGCCTGCTAGTGGTCTTACAAAAGTGAGTAATTACTTCTGTTTAAAGGCAATTAATATTCCAGTCATTTCCTCATTTGTACAGCAGTGTGGGCTGAACAGCTGATAGAACTTTCTGTCAAGCTTGTCTATCCATGCTAAAACACTGTACTTCTATTGGCCACTCTCATTGCTAAAGAAATTGCCAAGTTGCAACACTTCCTAGCAAATTGCTGCCCAGGAGAATGTACACAAAGCTTAGTTTGTGAAAGGGAAAAGAGAAAACTTGTTACATCTGCTTCTTCACTTAGAAAATTAAAGTGACATTTCAAAGAACCTTCAATAATTGTAATCTAGCCATTTTCTGGGTTATAAATAGACTGTTGTCAAGTCTTTACAATTTGAATTTAGGGAAATTTGCCCCAAAATAACAGAAGCATTATGAAAGCTAAGGGGGTGAGATGCAAAACTTCCAGGTAGTATGGTATTTAGTTAGTTCTAGCCTTTCCTTGAATGATTCTTGTTTTATCAGAAACTGAGCATGAACCATTTTCCATATGGACTCACATCCTGCTCTGTAACTTCTGATTTCCATTTTATGAATATTCAAGGCATATTGCAAAGCAAGGTTGTCTACAAGAGCACTTCAACAGACGTGGATTTTTGAAGGAGAAAAGCTGAGTAGGCTAGATTGCTTTTCCATAATTAGTTACGAGGTTTAGCTCTGTTCTCTGTATGTGTTTGTGTAGTCATATACATGTGCGCATGCATATATATACGTACATTATACATACGCATTTATATGGATATGCATATGTGTACATATATGCACGTCCAATACATGTATTGAGGAAACATAGAGCAGAAAATTCTGCAGTTGTATATACACACACACACGTGTATATATGCCCAATATAAATATCATCCATACATGCAGAATCATAGAATAGTTAGGGTTGGAAAGGACCTTAAGATCATCTAGTTCCAACCCCCTTGCCATGGGCAGGGACATACTGTCCATTTTGTCCAATGTATTGGACATACATAAATGCATATGCATACATGTGCATATATGGAATTGCAGAAGTTCCTGCTGTATTTTTGTTCACTTTCGTTTGTGGGTGTGGTACCTGTGTTACCTAGTGTCCTTGACAGCTGCCTGCCCATGTTTTATATAAGTCTAAACAAGCAGTCACAGCTGACTGAGTTGTCCAGATCACAACTGCTCTGCTTGGCCAAGTTCATGAGTCTTGCTAAATTAGTCTCCAAATGGAAACACACGATGCTACAGTGTTTGATGTGCTTCTACAGGTTAGGTGGTCAAGTAAACAAGTATTTGGCAAAATATGAGTAGGCTTTCTACATCTGCTTTTCTCATTCAGAAGATAAAACTTGTGTTTTGGTGATTTTTGCGTTATCATCTGTGCATTTTCCAGACAGCAGGGTAGCTGTTGTGTGGAGGCTTTGAGAATTTTGCAGAATGTGAATGTGTAACTCCTGTGGCAATCTGATGTTTAGAGATACCAGAGGATAATGGAAACACGATTTCGGAGGTTAGCTTTTCATTCATTTGCAGTGAAGAAAGAAGTGAATGTGAGATAATGCCAATTTCATGATTTTTCACAGTTTCCTCTGGCTCATCTCATATTTAGAAACTTTAATTTGGAGTGACCTTTTATAATTCCAGCAAGTTCTTACTCACAAATTTTATTCTGTTTCACAAATAAGAATTAATGCCATTGTGACTTACTGATACTGCTATGAGTATGGCAGAGTTCTCCCTGGATGACTATTTGGATGACTGTAAGATGATCACAGTATAGATCTGCATCTGATTTTTACAGTGATCGCACAAAAAAATAGATGGTTCTTGACTTTATTTACCTACTTATTGGCTTGATGGGAGGAGTCTCCCTTTCCATCTGGTAGTATGTCTCATGTAAGCCAGCTGTCTAGTTTTGTAATGAATCTCTGATGATGAGTCGTGTGTCACTCAGACATGCATTGTCCAAGGATCTGAAGGGATTTCTTCGGTAGAACAAATGTTAGTGCCAGAGCTTACATGGACCCATTACTGAAAGTTGTTTAAAAATGCAAATAAGTACGAAGAGCACATCTCCAAACCTAATGGCTACAGCAGAGATTGGCTAAAATCAGCTGTAGACATCACAGTGTATTTTCCTTTCTGTAAGCTTATTTTTGCACAAACATCTCTCTTCAGGTGATGGCATTTCCTCAATGCAGCTGTTACAGATGAGGTATAGAAAATAAACTAAAAAAAAAAAGAGGTTTTTTTCAATGAAAGCACATTCCCTCCCTTTTCATTAGCTGTTTTGCTAGAAGAATTGAGGAAAGCATTTGAGTTTCTTTGTTCTGTAGTAAATAGCAGAAGTTAAGGTTAGGATTTCTTGATTTGTTTTTTCCACCAGTTTCTGCCATCATGCTGTGTTTTTTTGTAATGTTTTATAGATATACCTAAGGCTTGATCGTAAGACATCCTTTAAAAATATTAGTAGAACTATATAGAATAAATACAGAAGAAGATTCTGGAAGTAACTAGTTTCATTTATGTGGATAGATAAAGTTGAGCATTGTCTAAACTGTAGGAATGTAAGTTACTGAAGAGTGCAATAATTCAATTTTATAGTAGTTCAATAAATACAGCATTTTTGTGTTCTTATCTCTATTTTATTTTTAATGAGGAATGCATATTGATAAAGACAACAGCAGACAAGGGAAATCAGCCAGGCTAGAATTAGTCTGCCTAGTGACTGCTGAGAAATTGCTTTGGGGCAATTTCAGCACCTTTTCATAATGATAACTTTTTTTTTTGTTTTTTTCAATTCACCAGATGACTGTGGCAGGTACAGCTGGGATTGATGTTTCAGGGGTGTGGTAGTTTAAAGCTATGGTGAGAATGTCAGTGTGTTCCTGTTTCTCCTGTTCTTTACATCCTGTTTTGTCACAGTAGGTTTTTTGAAACAGCCCAGTGAAAAGCCTAAGGGAATTTTTTACCAAGATATGCCGATTTCTGGTGGTATTAAGTGTCAAAATGCAGATATGGTATAAGGTTGCATGCTGCAGTTTCACAGCACTGGGTTACTACTACTTCTCAGTCCTCGTAAGCTGGGTATATGGGAATTATTCTGACCACTGTCACGTAGTCACGCAGCAGCCTGGTATTGCATCGCAAAGGGAATGTTGTCTGAATGACAACATGAGGGTTTTTTTTCAACAGAAGCATTTCAAATGTGCTGACAACAGTGACAAAACTCTTCAGACCCTCTGTCCTGTCTTTTTACCTTTTCATAGAAGAAAACAAAAAAATTGCAGGTAAATATGTCATAAAGTATAGAAACCGAGTTTCAAACTAATATTAATGAAACAGAAGGTCTGGTTCTTCAGTAATGTACCCTATTTTACTATAGCATGCACACTTTTAAAAACAAGTTGGGAAATGTTCATAGTTGTTTAGAATGTATAGGTTAAGCTGTGGTGAGTATATAAATGCCTCCTGAAGAGTGATGCAGAAAGAGATGAGATGGAGGGAATTCTTTGCAGCCTGGCACTGGATGTTGTTTATTGTATACCTGTATAAACACACCTATTTGTGGTGAGTGCACTCCTAGTTGCTTTAATATTTTTATCAGTTTGAGGTTTTACTATTTATGAACATAATTAGACAAAAAAGGGTATTATAAATGCATAGCATGTAGCGTCCCTGATGGGAAAAGAGATATCTTTTCAGAGAAGGTATCTTCATTGGAATGCAGGGATGCACTTTAAGTGTTCTATTCACCCATAGGATGGGCCATGTAGCTGACAGCATGGCCCGTAAGAGACAGCCAGGTGATCTATCGAGGATACTGTGTTGGTCACATCAGCGCATATACGAAGATCAGGTTAAAATCAGGAAATGCTGCCATGTTCTTTTGGGTCCAAAGTAAAATTATTACAGCAAGTCCAGGCTTGTTTATTGAAGCTTTTGAAAATCATACATAAATAAAATCTTGTGCAGATAGAAATGGAAGTAAAAAAAATAGTTACTAAGGGGGAAAAGCCCTAAAGAACCATCCCCTGAAGCAATTAACCTTATCAGCTTTAGGTGTTAGCTTTCCAAGCATTTCCTTAGCAGAACAGTTAATGCATTATTTTGTATTGATATTGTGAATCACTTTACATCAAATTTATGAATGCCTTTTCCATGTTTATTTTTTGTATGTTAGAGCTTTCTACTATGCTTCTTGTCAAATTCAGTTTTTGCAAATAACCAAAACAAAAAGCATCTGTCTTTCTACCAAGTAAATTAAATCAACATATAGAACCTTTCCAAGTATCTGTTTCTACATACATATGTATTTAATTTATGTCATGGATGCCTTTTACTCATTTTTTCCCGCTTTCTCTTTGCGAAGATATGACTAATGGAAACTAAACCTACTAGTTTCTCCAGTCACTGGACACAGAAGAAGTGAGTCCAAAGGCTGCCTGAGCTTTGGCATGTAATGGGCTGTGGCCCTTGGAGAGCTGGAGGACAGGGCGAGGTGTGGGTTGGTAACCCAGCAGACAATGTAGTGATTCCTGTTCCCTGATCCAGTTAGTCTAGCAGTGCCAGTCTGCAGCAACTGCAGAACAGACCATCTTGGCTGGAGTAAAGCACATGGGAATACTGGCCAGCTCCCCTTTTTTCCCCCAGGATTCCAACAGATCTGCTGCATAACTGTGTGAAGCATCCACCCCCTCCTTGCTATTGTCTCATTGACTTACTTTGGGTAACATCTGCTCCTCTTGTCCTTAAAAAAGTCCAACACAATCACTGGCGTGACAGGATCCTTCTAGTTTCAGGAGGCATGTGAGGGAAAACCACTCCTTTACTTGCACAGCAATTCAGTAAGGGCTTTGAGTGTGTAAGTTAAATCATGTGTGTCTTTTTTTGCATATGGGACCACCTAGATACCTCAAGAAATGCTGAATCTAAGAAACATTTGGAGCTTCATGCAAAGCATTTATTTTCCTGTTTTGTCCAATGCTTTCCTTATGGCAGTATCTTGTTGACTACTAAGTTCATATGAACCCTGGGGTGAGCAGAAAGCTACACCGTGGATTTGAGCCAGCAAGCAGGCATGTATTACAAAAGTAAAATATAAACAGTAGTTATGTGGTTTCATTGCAGTCCCTGGCTGCCCCGTAATTTTGAGAAAGCTAGTTTTTAGAAAGCTGGGTATTATTCTTGCGCCACATATTCAAAATAAGTGAATATTAAAAAATATGTCTGTAATGTGATTGATTGATTGATGGCTTGGCTTCACATCTGTAGTGTAGACAGGTGAAGAGCTACTTTCTGTGACTGATGCTTAAGGCTCAGCAAGTCTCAAAGTGTCAATCTGTGAAGGCAATCACAGGGCAAAGGGTGGCTTTCCACTGTCTGCTCCTTCTGGGTTTGATGTAGGAATGGGGCTTCTGTCTGAGGTCTTGCAAGTCTATGCAAAGTCAGATTACAAACTGCTTTTGCTTTGGCTATTTTTGTTAAATAGAGAGATCCTTGTGAGATTTTGAGAGTAGCTGTTTGTTCAGAGAGTTATCTAGAATGTTTCAGTGGAAAGCTTTATCTTCTACATCTTTGTTTGAAAAGTAGGTATGACTGTTGGTTTTTTGCTTTACCTTGCAGTCATCATTATATTGAATCTAAAATGAACTGTATAGGTAGGGCAGGTACTTTGTTAGCTGTGTAAAGCCAAAGTTTTTGTGTATTTGGCTACTAACTGTTACTGGTTTCTCCTGTAGTAAGCTAGAATGGCAGCAAGGAAACAGGCTTTAACAGTGGTGGTTGTAACACAGCATATTTCATATACGTTACTGGATATTTCATTCTTCAAATTGTTTAGTTAGATATTTTTAGTTAGATATTTTTCTGAAAGTTAAAATATTGAATCTAAAAATTAAACATTTATTATGCAATCAGATCTACTCTTTGTTTCTCAGATGTGGAAAAATGTGGTGATTCAAAGTTTTATTTTTCAAGTGAAACAGAGTTCTTGATTTCTATTCTAACAAGTAACTAACTCAGTATGAGATTCCTTTTTTTTGTTGGTCTTGGTTAGAAATAGGCTTAAATAGTAGATTTATAACAGTGTAAAATGGAAAAGTGTACGAAGTACATGAAGATAATTGTTTTCATCCATGATATAGCTCATCTAAAGATGAGCATGTGACCACTTGAAAATGTACTGTACTATGGTTAGAATCAATTACAAAAAATCATTCAAGACAGAATTGCGTAATTTTTATTCTGATTTAAGAGAATGTAATTATTAATAGAAAGTTAATATAAGAATGCAGTTATGAAGCATAAAAATCTGGATGCTTCCTTCTCTGAGTGTCTCCTGTCATCGATGGTATTGTATAATCTGGGAAAAGGATGTAGCACATTTGGCCTTCAAAGCATTATTTTTTCAAGAAAAAGCGGTTTGAGTTGCTAACTTCTAGGGTAAATTTAACCATACCTGGGAGCATATTTACTCAGTTGTTGTACAATATGTTTTTGGTTTAATTTGTTCATCTGCTGTTTGAACAATTCTGTCTCAAAACTTCTGCTTTCCGTTCATTTTCTTGCCAGGGTCAGCGTCTTTTTGAAAAATTGCTGGAACTGGCATCCCGAAATATTGAGATAAAACTAGTGAGCGACATACTGCCTGTGGAATCAAAGGTATTAAACGACTTGAAAGCAAAGGGTAAGACTTCGTGTTATTATGCCATTGACTGATATGTAATGTTCCCTTTACCTAAAATGCAGCCTCAGATGATGTATAAAATGCACACTCTTGGTTTAGCACTGTTACCCTGTAATCCTTCAGCTTTCTCTGCTCCATAGCTCTCAAGAATCTGAAACTCTATTACTGTAGTTGTTGTTCGCAATTTGCAAGTGTTCAAAAAGGTGGTGCAGTGATTAGTTAGTTGTTTAAACTCACTACAGCCGTTCCAATGGTCGGCGAAGTAACCTGAGAGACTGCTGTAATAACCTGTGGGAAGAGACGGTTTCCTTTTTTGAGCAATAGCAAAATAAATTAATAAACTGACATACCTATGGTACTGATGATTCCAAAGTATTAGAGAATAGTCTGTCAGTCAGATTTAACTGCCAAGGTTTTCTGTGCTACATGTAATTCTTAGGTGTCTGCTTTCCTAATCATTGCTTTGAGGCTTAAATTCCTATCCAAAGAGAGATTACTGGCACTACATGAATAAACTTGCTTTATGTAAAAGTCTGTGGAAAAATAGCAGAGAGCTTAAGAAATGCAGAAAGAAATCAGAATCTCTTAGGAGTTTTAGCAATCTTGTACACAATTTGCCTGAATAAAAATACATTAATTATGTGTATAATCTGATAAAAGTATGATTTTAAGGGTAGGATACATTTTCAAAATGCAGAAAGAACCTCTGTATTTTGATGCTGATCATTTTTGACACAGATTGCTAACTGGATCACAAAGGGAATTCTAAAAAGTAAATTAAGCAAAGCAATTGCTCTGTATAGCAGCACCATAACAAAACATGTATTTTTGCAGTAAAGAATAAAGAACATTCTTTTCCAAAAGAAATCAATCTTTATTTGTTTAAATTCCTTGTAACCTCCCCACTGGGTAAGTAAAAGAACATTACTAATGGAAGTCCTTAAAGTGTTCATTTTTGATCAAGACTGGCAAGTTGTTTAAATGTAATAAATACAGAGACTTGTCATTTTGTGACTCTGCCTGTTCCAGGGCTTTGATTATTTGTGTTACATAACCAAAAGTGATATCGATCCTTTGATAACCAGTAGAACTACATCAGCTTTGGCAAATGTCTGTGATGTAAGGGATTATCTTTTTCTTATGTGTTGAAAAAGAAATAGGTGTTCTAGCGTCAATGTCAGTAAGATTGTCTTTGAAAAAGTGGTTTATTTTCCCTTTGATTCTAACATACCAAATTCCATGAGTCAGAAGAGATGACAGCTGAGGCCTGTACATTTACATTGATGTACCTGGCAATAGGTATTTTAGCTATCGTTTACTGAGAATACCCAGTATCAGAAATTGTCCTCTTTGACAAAAAGATGAGCAAAACTTCTGCCTAGAAAAGGGAGTGATGTTTGTTATTAATGCTTCCTCCAGTTTATGTGGGAATTAATCAACCTGTGAACTTTTTGAACTAGCAAACAAATAGAACATAGGCTTTTACAATTTTACTAGGTTCAAATTTGCCTCATTCAGATTTCTAAGACAGGAAATTTTAGAGTACTGAAATGAAGGAATCAATATATATTTGAGTGCTCTGAGCGACAAAGAATAGGAGAAAGTCACTTCTATATAGTAATTCTTGTGAATTTTGCTGTCATCATTTTTGAACCCTGTTAATTGTAGATATCACTGTGTGCTGTTGGCCTTTCAAAGATAGACATTATAACATCGATTTTCTCACTGTGAGTGTTGGGGTGTTTTGGGTTTTTTCCTCTCATTCTATGTTTTGGTTTGCTTATTTCTACATTTTTTGTGTTAGAATGTCTTGATGATGACATGGTGATTGCCAGCTCTGATGAAATTCTTTCACCTGCATAAAGTGTGTACACACACAATTTCAGTTTGTTGTTTGATTTTTATAACAAGGAAAGCTCTGTTTGGTTCTGCATTCCTGAAAGGAGATATGTTAATTTTGACATTTAATCAAATTTAGTTGTCTTAATTTTATGTTTAAATGAGCAGACTTTGTACGAATATCAGACTTGGGGTGTGTCCTGCTTGTGTCAAATAGAAGGTAACTGTACTGATGGGCTAGCTTAAATACAAAAAAAAAAGGCTACCCCAAATTCTGTTAGTTCATTGGTATTAATAACACAGTAAATGGAAAACGTGCCTATATTAGACTTTTTAATGTCTGCTGTAGAAAAAAAGTGCTATTGCCTGCTACCGTTGTCTTAGCTGAGGACAAACATCACTAAGATTTGCTATGCCATCCTAGAAGATCTGTCTACTGAAATTATTAATCTCTTTACTCATGAGTCACTGGCCACCTGCATCCTTAAAAATCAGTCAGGATTGATCCTTGAAAGGGAACCGTGCATTGTCATTTGGACACATATATTCATGAAGATGACTAATTATGGGGGTTTTTCCCCCTGCAACTGGTCAATTTGTCTTATGAAAGACAACGCTACGCACCTTTTTTGATAGAAATATTCCTCTTGTGGGAAAGAGAGCAGTAAATATATCAATAGCTCAGCTAAGTTTTGAAGCTTCTTGTGGTGATGAACCAGAATACATTTGTCTGAAAAGACACAAACTCCCACTTGCAGTGTCTTTCTGAATTAGGCAGAGGAGAATCCAAGCACTACTCTTAGGTTCACCAGCTGTGCCTCAGCCATGGGAATAGCATGGGGAGAAACCACATACATAGCCTGTGGGACTCTGGGAGCTTCATGTGTTCCTGAGGCTGCTTTCACCTTGCTAGATAAGCATAGGCTAGCCTCTTTCTGCAGTGAAACTCAGTGTCTCCAGGTAGTGTGTTGTCCTTCTAAATATAAGAGACTGCATAGAGAAGGTGGAAGAGCCTTGCCTTTCTTTTCAGAACACTGGGTGATGAGAACATCTGAGCTGTGTCCCCATGCTGCGCAGGCGGGTTCCTGGAGTCAAGATGAGGGATGATTTGGGTGTCAGTCCTAGGATGTACCTGTTGATACACAGCCTGGGAGCCTTTAAAGATGATGCAGTTCATCAGCCTGTGGTTATCTACCTTGCTGCATCTTCAGGTAGTGCGCCCTTTCTGACTTAAGTAGCCAAGATAAGTCTTAGTCTTGACACAATGGCATGGGTTTGTATGTGGTTGCTTGAAGGACTATAGTTGGTCATCCATATTGTCTGTGGTGTTTGATTTTTTTATTTATTTTTTATTTTTTGTACTAGGAACCATAATATGTTACAGCACTGCTGCATCTCTGCACAGATATTGAGACTATTTCTGCCAGCCAGATTATTTTAGCACATCTTTCATTTTTCTAGACAGGCATGCATGGAGCCCCCTTGCCTCTTCTCCCCATTTCTGAAGTACTGTAGACAGCAGCTTTGATAGACCTTTTCCAGCCCAGGGATGCATCCTAGAGTCCTCCCTACACATCCTTCCTCTCCAGCAGCCGTCCCTACTGATTAACAGAGGAGAAAATTGAAATCTGACTTCAGATTTGAGCTGATGGGGTAAGACAAAGCATAACTTATGTGGATGGGAGAGAAGAACTGATGTAGAGTAAAATAAAATCAGTAATTTACAGTGCAATGTTAGTACAGATAACTGAGCTAGCTGTGAATCTGCAGGTTTCTTGCCACAGTTAAGCCTTCTTTTGTCCTGTCTTTGCTATCCTGAATCATTTGAGGTAGCTGTAGGACAGGGTATCTTGATTACAGAAACAGTCTAGCAGCTTCAGCGTGAAACATGGATTGATTTACTGTGTTAACACAAAACACACCTAGAACCGAGGAGCTCCTGAGTGCTGAGAATAAACATTAGCTAGTAATTGCTGTGATGTGGAGGTGTTATTTAGTTGCAAAAGTAAGCATGTGGAAATGAGGAAATACTAGTCCCAGAACATATACTTATGGTAGACTTAATTACATTATCAGACTCTATATTTTGCACAGAATACCTGGCTGGTACTTGCTATAATCTTATCACATTAATCAGAATTTTTTCCATTGTATTGAATGAGAATATGTGAAACATTTAATGCCTAAGGCAGATGATGCTCATTCAGGGGATATTATTTCTGCTAGTAATGGCTAGGATCTTCTTTTCTCTTCATATTTAATGTATGTCTCCAGGATTTCTTTTATTGCACATCTGCCAGATCCTGCACTGAATGCAGAATGATTAATTTCCTCACAGGCTTTTCCGTGATGCTTCTCACTGTGGTATCTGAGCGCTCCGCAAATGCAGTATTAATGAATTTCTTTTTACATCACTGTTAGGTGAGGTTGCTTGCTGTTTCTGTCTCTCAGGAACAAAGAGTGATTATTAATGGCAGCACAGACATCAGAAGCCAGATATGAGCATTCTATAGTCATAATAAAAAAAAAAAGTGTATCAGTAATTTTAAAAAAATCATTTGCACGTTAGTTGTCAAAATTATTACTAAACAGGCTATAAACTGTGATGTTATTTTTATAGGACCTTTGTAACATGCAGGCCTAGGGTGTGAAGTTTTGCTTCTCTATAGTTAAAGCTGTATTTTACTTTCATATGTAAACAAATGCTATGCACATATGTCTCTGGCTTTCTTGTGGGGTAGGTCTGCCTGTAGGCAAAATTTAGCTTGCCGTGTAAACAAACATGTTCTTCTTTATCCTCTTTTTGCTGTGACAGTAGCTTTTTAATGCTTGTTTTCAAGGTTATTGTTCTAGCCTTTTCTCAGCTGTGGTTCAGTCTACTAGATTGAAACATTTCTTGTAACACTCCTACTCCTTGCACATAATTATGTACCAGTCTTTGTTCCTCAGGAACTTTTGAATATTATTGTCTCCAATTAGCAGGTTGCTGCATCATTTTTTACACGTACAGAATCTAAATCCCTTACTAATTATGATCTTGTTTTAGCTGACAGTGTAAATGTTTTTCAAGACATTCCAATGCATTTCCTTTCTTCAGTTTGTATCACTCCATTTCTTTTCACTTCTCCCTCAATATTCCCTTTTCATGAATAATTTTATAT